CGACTGGCACGCTTGGGGGGCAGGGAGGGGGTGCAGGTGTTATAATCAACATTCATTGGAATATGTTGATGATGCAGAACTAAAGAAAATGGCTGGTTAGGTTAGTTTCCTTCGTCAAAAAAGGCACGGATCCGCATTATGGCTAGTAAAATTCAATCAACAATTTAGATGCAAAATCACTCCGTTTTACAGGTGATGCTATTATGATAAATGTATGCTTTCAATATGCCTTCTTTACAGCCATAGATTACTGTGCAATGAAAACACCTCATGCAATGCAAAAGCGAACCGCTTTACCCATGGAAGTTAAATAATTTCCTTTGATGATGCTGTAGCCGAGTCTACGGTCTCCTGTATCTTAAAGTCTTTTTACTCTAAGGACGTCAGTAAAACGACCACAAAACGCTGATAACGTTTGCAACTTTGAACAATAGGTTATTTTAGCAAAGGCATCCTTCATTTTCTAGCAACCATCATCAAAGCTGTCACAAATTCATTAAAAAAATAAGTTAAGCAAAGTAAACAGTATCACTTAAGGAGTATAAAAAGTTCTCCGGATGATGTTAGTATAATCAAAGGTCTTTTCCGATGTCCCTTCAGAACAATCCCCAACAAAACCGCCCCAAATTACGAACGACGAATAAAGAGTACGACTAAAAATAAGAGCAAAATTACCCGAGAAAGCGGAGGACCTTCCTAAGGCGGCCGATCGGGTCCGTGAGGAGGCGTTCGTAGTGGAGCACGTGCAAGGGGGCGGAGTTCCACAGGAGGCGGTCTGTTGCAAGCCCCTCCCACTGTGACGTCATGCGCTCTACGTGACCTCTGAAAGCTGGTTGGAGAAAGGCAGTGGAAAGCTTGTTGGAGAGTGCCATTGCTGTTGTCAGTGGCATGTCATTGTAATTATTATCATCATTATTATCACTGTCCTTGTTAGTAAGTAGCAGCAAGTTCCCTTGGCCTGATGAACCTAAAACATGACACTATTTCCCTCGGCTTTATGTATGGAACACCTCTCTATCATCAAAAAGGATTGATTCTTGTGCTACTTTACTCATATTGTTACAACAATATGAGTAAATTGTACAAATAATTATCTGCCCTAATAATTATCGGTCAATCTGTGTTGTACATTGTGAGAGGTGTTTCCCTATATATCTATGTAATGATGTGTCAGAAAAAGTAACAATAGTAAAATAATAATAACATTAATAGAAAAAAAAAAAGTGGAAGGGGCTTAGCTATATATCACTACGAGCAATGTTATCATCATTATCATTATTAAGGTCATTGTCATCACTCCTCTATATTCCCTCTCTCCTCTTTCCATAATTATTCCTCCTTTGTCTCTTTGCCACGAATAAAGACTAAATGGAAAAGAAATAGAAATGTCTTACCATTATTTTGGAAATCCTGTGGCGACAACTGGGCGGTGTGTCTGCCGTCCCCCGGCCGCGAGAGGAGCTTCCAGAACGAGATGATTGCTCTAGCTTGGGAAGAGGAGACCAGTCGTAAAACAAATAAAGATAGATGGATAGATTTATGGGGAGAGAGAGAGAGGAGAGAGAGAGGTAGAGAGAGGGAGAGGGAGGGAGGGAGAGAGAGAGAGAGAGAGAGAGAGAGAGAGAGACATTACACACGCATGTATAGGCCTATATACACGGGCGCCCCATCCCTGCCCCTTCACCTGCGAGGGTCGCGCAGCAGCAGAACGGCCGGCGTGCGTGGTCCCACTGCCTCGTATCGCCCCACGAGGTCCCGGTTCGACTTGTCGACGGAGCCGTGGCTCTTCAGCACCAGCGTCCTCTCGCTGCCTGGGTCTTCGCCCTCGCCCAGGAACCCTGGAGCAGAAGGGAGAAGCACGTTACGCACGTTACTAGGAGACTGGCAGAGCGTCCGCCCAGCACGTTCTCTCCTGTTCCTTTGTGCAGGCGCCGGCCATCAGGCTAAATCACATAGATGCCCCCCCTCCCCCGATGCCTCACCTGCCCTGAGGAGCTCCTCGTCGGCGAACTCGGAGGCGGTGAAGAGGCCCGAGGCGCCCTCCAGCAGGTACCTGAGCCACGTGTTGCCCGAGCAGGGGAACGACAGCAGGAGGACCCGGGGCAGGGCGCGGCCAAACCTACGAGGGGGACCGGAGGCAAGAGGGATCAACTATTTAATATTTAAACAAGTAAGCAAAACAAAAGAGAGACTTCAGGCAGCGCAGAAAGGCGGCATCAACCACTTTCCGGTTTATGTCACTTTCCTAACCATTTCACTGTCACTCTCCTCCAAAGTAAATTGTTCTGTGATTTCCTTATCTAAAATATTTATGAATTTTAACCAAAATCGTTAAACATTTTCTGTGGTGTAACGAACGAGCAGAGTTCGAGAAGCCAAGGATACCGTCAAAAATCCTTTGGGTGTAAACAAAAAAAGGCCGGTTTGCGCTTAACTTGGTGCCTCTTGTCAAGTCCGTCTTTGAGATATAGAGAACATATTTCAGAAGTCAAAAGCCGTTGGTTTGCGAAAAGATGTTATCAACATTAGTATAGAATATGGTAAAATAAAATGAAAGATTGAGTGTCGCCATGTTTTTCCTTTTTTGTTTTTACTTTATTCTTCAGTCCTTTTTTTACTTTTTTAAATCCGGATTTTACGTCCGTGTTCATTCATAGTACAAAAAAACAAAACAGGCACAATAAAAAGTATATATATATGGCTTTATGATATTTGCTACTCAGATCAGTCCTATGATATCTATATCCATTTCAACACTATAGAAGGACATACGTATCTACATTTACACTTTATAAGAAAGTCCGGCTCACCTTGTCTCATGGCGCGCGCAGTCGCTGTCCCCCCAGGGGCGCCACGCCCGCCCTTCGCGCTCCCGCTCGACCTCCCGCTCGCCTGTGGGGGGAGGGTGGGGGGGAGACAAATGGAAGGGGTAGTGAACCTACTATGTTGAGCGTTATTTTCATAAATATTGCCTGTCGTTGATTTGTTGCCAATTTCATAACTTCATTGTATTACCGTCATCATTATTGTCATTGTTATTTTTGCTATGAATCAATAGTACTATTATCATCATTATCTTCATCATCATTGTGATAATGATAACCATTTGTTTTTGTTTTTTATATCATTATTATTACCATTGTTATTATATTTATATCTTTATTATTATCATTGTTATCATTACTTTTATATCATTATCATTACCGTTGTTATTTTTCTTATTTTTCTCATTGTTATACTCAATATAAATTCACGTACCGAATGCCTGAAGTCCGTCCCTGAAAAGCAAGTTGTAGTTGTTATAACGTAATTTCTATGAATGATTCACTTCCCTTCATTTCATATAATATTCACATTATCTTTAAATTAACTATTTCATTTTTTATGTACTTATTTCAAATGAACACCTTGAGACAATGTACATCCACAGAGCAGTGAATAACCCAGCGACCACTAAATAACATGGTCCAGCGATCACTGGATAATATAACCCATTGCTCGCTGACCACCACAAAACCCAGCAACCCCAGAGTAATGCATCACCCAGCAGGCCACTAAACTAATGCATAACCCAGTGGTTCCTGAAAAGTGTTTAGTCCCGAGGTCACTGATCAAAGAATAACCCGATAGTCGCTGAGCAAAGCATAGACCAACAATCACTGAACAATCCAAGAGCCAGCGAGCACTCTAAGGCCCTACTTGGCAGCGGCCGCGCCTTCTCTGTCTCGGGCCTCCTCCGCCTGACGGAGGCTGCTGGGCCTTTGTCTGCAAAAAATGGAGATGGTTCTTTTTTATGGTTTTTATTATCATTATTATTATGATTGTTAATATTATTACTTTTTTACCTCTATTGTATTTAAAAAAGAATTTTTTTTTTCTTATTTTACTGAACACTTTCATTTACCATAACACATTTAGTAATCATATTGACAAAAATATCTTAAAATCCAGGGATCTTGGTCCCAGGTTCCTTGAGGGCCCCCCCTACATTTCTTAAATTTGATGAGACATATTAATGACAAAAAATAAGTATTTATATACTAATTTAAACCGACATATATATATATATATATATATATATATATATATATATATATATATATATATATATATATATATATATAAATATATATATATATAAATATATATATATATATACATATATATATATATATAAATATATATATATATAAATATATATATATATATATATATATATATATATATATATATATATATATATATATATATATATACACCGATCTGTGCGATTGAAAAGCCAGTGCTCTGCCACTGAGCTACCCCGTCCCTCCTCTTAGCTACGCCCTCCTCCTCTACCATTAGTAGCTTAGAAGGGAAAACCACTGACTCCAAAGGGTTAGAATCCCGACAAAAGCGAAATCAAGTGAGAAACGGAAACGGAAAAAAGCAGGACGCAGGCCGGAGGCAACTCACACGCGCATCACAGCCGAGAACCCCGCCAGCAGAAGCAGCAGAAGCAGACCAGCTCTCCCGCTCCTCATGTCGCTCCTGGAACACTGCCACGAAACAACGTTGTTAGCGAAGGGTCTACATAACTAGAAATTCTATCACAACTGTTAATATCCAAAACACCATCATTATTCCTACATAATTCCGGTTATTGGTACATTGTAATTATCATCGTCATTATAATTATCATCATTATTATTATTGCTATCATTACTATTATCACTATTAATATTATCATTATTATTATTATTATCATTATAGCTGTTGTTATTATCATTACAATTAATAGTATCATCATCATCATTATTATGATTGTTATTATCACTTTGCTGTTATTCCCACACTCTCATTATCATTAACATAATATTAATCTTGCTTTTTGCTTAATTCAGAGTGAAGCCATGAATCCAATTTCTCCCAGGACTCCGCACTCGAAATATATGTAATCAGAAATTATTCATTAGGTGTTGCTTACCTGTTTCAAGCAGATGTTATTCCTGAAATTAATGGAGAGGAAACATTATCATCGTTGTTGGGTTCAGTAGATCACTGTTTTAGTTACGTTTGGTATTATTATTGTATCATTTTCATCACTATTATTACCATTATTATCAAGAGTAATACCACATCAACACCATCGCCATCATCACACCATCATCGTAATAATGATAATAGTAATAATAACAATAATAATAATAACAACAATTGATAATGATAAGTTATTATTATTATCATTATTTTCATTATCATTATCATCATCATTATTATTATTATCATTATTTTCATTATCATTAACATCATTATTATTATCATTATCATTATTATTATCATTATTATTATCATTATTATTATCATTATTATTATCATTACTGTTATCTTCATCATCATCATTATCATTATCATCATTATTATCATTATTATTATCATGATAAGGAAAGTAATAAAAATGATAACAATAGATAAACAATAATGATGATAACAATAGATAAACAATAATGATGATAACAATAATAATGATAACGATGATAATAATAATAATAATAGTAATAGTAATAATAATGATAATAATAATAATAATAAAATAATGATAACGATATTAATAATAATCATCACAATAACAAAAAAACAATAATAATGATAAGAACAATGATAATAATGATAATATTGATGTAATATTGATGATGATGATAATAATAATATTAATAATGATAACATTAATGATAGTAATAAAAAATAAAAATAATGGTAATGATAATGATGATAACATAAATCGTACTTACCATTATTATTATCATTACTATCACTACTTTCATCACCATCGTCTATATCATCATTATTATCATTATTAACCCCTTCATTATAATGGCGTAACAATTATAGTAATCACAACACAAATAAAAAGAAGATGAAACAAAAGATACTGATATCACAAAGAACACACACACACACACACCATACAGGCCCTTCATTATAATGGCGTAACAATTATAGTAATCACAACACAAATAAAAATAAGATGAAACAAAAGATACTGATATATAAAGGGTTATAACATTATAAATCCAATATGTTCACACACACACACACATACACACACACACACACACACACACACACACACACACACACACACCATACAGGCCTCAAATATAATCCCTTATACCAACAATAACTACCTAATAGCTATTAGAAAAATAAAGCAACAAAACAAAAGAACGGCAGAGAGCACGCCACCCACCGCAGCAGGCCGGAGGCGCGGACAGACAGCGTCCCCCGAGCATCACGTGGGCGGGAAAAGCGCGGGAAAAAAATGCCGGGAAAATAGCAGCTGTTTCGGCGATAAGGGAACCCGTGATGCCCTTATCGGAGGTGCAGGGGGGCGGGGGGAGGGGGGGGAGTGTCTCGTGATGCTGGGAGGGAGAGTGCTAACTTTTTTTTTTCTTCTGTGTTATCTGTCCAAAGAAAAGAATATGTGTAGCTCAGCTAGTCTGGTAGTTTCGTAGAGTAAGATGACATCGATATCAGGTACTGATCTTATATATATCTTTCGTATCATTTTTTTTCGCGCAACTATTATTTAATTACAATCACAGTAACGATAGTAATTTCTAGACTAATGTGGTGAATGCAAAAACACAAACAACGGAAATTATATCACCGCACCGTAATGCCAGCGACGATAATTAAAATTACACCAAAAAGTGGTTTGTAAAATAACACTACAGTAATGATAATAAAAATAATAATAATAATAATAACTATAGTAAAATAAGGATAATAATCTATAATATATAACATTAATGGCGTACCGATAATAGTAGCATAATTAGTATTAACTTTCACAACAACTGATAACAATAATGTGTATCAACAATGATATAAATATAATCCATTCTAATAAGAACAATGATAAAAAAATTGTAATCATAATAATAACAGCAGCAGCAATAACGGCAAAAAATGACTATTGCAGTTAATACACCAGTAGTGATTACGATAATGATGACCTCGTGACGGGCGAGTTTTAAAGGGCACGGAAAGGATGCCCTTAATGATGATAACAATGCGATGGATTTGATGATAATAGGTGATAATTTGATAAGGACAGTCGGGTAGTAATAATTATGGTGGCTGTTGCGTTTATTGTCATCACTGTCGCCATCATAATTCAATTCAATTATCACCACACGGCTTTTCTCCTCCCACCTCTGTTGTTTGTATCGTAGGCATTATCAACATCATCCTCATTTTCAAAATTCCTGTCACAGTTACTACACTGATGAAAATGACACTGAATAATACTGCCAATCCCGTGACTGTCCCTCCTTCGCTCAACCCAAGCGGTCCTTCAGCGGCGCCTGCTGGCAGGGGCGTCGCCTGGGGTTTGTGAGGGCTTGCACTCTTAGTACGCCATGTCTTCAAGGAATGTATTTCAGTTAGGTAGGTGGTTAACTCTCATAATACTGCATCAAATATATATATGTACATATATATATATATATATATGTA